CTTTCCGATCTGTTTCAAATCATACAGTTACCTTTGTTTCCAGCAGGCAAAAATCTAGTAGGTTTACAGAATTTCGAATTCAGCCAACTTAAAACAAATAGGAAAGGTCGAGAATGCATATATTTGAAATAGATGTTCGACATTAAAACGAATAAATCGTTCACGATGGACAAGTGACAAAAAAATTACGTCGATGAATACATCTTTGAACTTTATAAATATGCAGAAATTCTTCCAAATTATGCAGAACGTTGTTAGCTGGGACCTAAATAACCAACCCCCTAGAGCAGGACGAACAAGACTTTAATGTTCCAGAATTTTTAAAGCTGAATTTTGAACAAATCATCAAAATTCTGAAGAAATTCCTTCTAGATAGCTTACGCCCTTCGGATACTATCTTGGCATGCAACGAAACTCCATCGATGCACAAGTTCCAATAACTTCAATAACTTTTGACACCAACCTATCGAACGTTATCATACAGGAAATGCCGAGATTCTTACACGTCCCTCAAGCACGAATATGACGAAAGCTAATGATTGAGATTCATACTGCCTCTTCGATGCCTACGTCGTCGTCCAAGAGACGACGAGTGGCGTTATGAATTCAAATGTCGTCTTCGTTACGTGGCGAACGTATCGATCCAATTGTGATAACGCAGAAGGAACGCAGCTTACGCTGTACGGCAGCTGTCAAACCTAAAGAAAACATTTTGAGGTTTTGCAAGGAGTCCGCGCAGATTAGATGAACTTTGGAAATCACCGAACTCAAGATATTCTAAAATAAGTTCAGGCATTGCCACCACAGCACACCCACCCCGTTATTTGACGCGAACATTCCCATAAAAATCCAAACGCAACTAAAATTTGCCACAAGATTCATGAATGCTTAAGAGCGCATACTGCTTACACCATATGAAGAGAAATCTCTTCGAATGAAATCACGTCTAGCCCGTGTATACCAGCAACACCTTTATTGAAACACAATAAATAAATATGACATCAGAAAATACCAGAACAATTCAAACTATGGCAACTATGATATCTCAGAAGGAATCGGCAAGGCACATATACTGTCAAGTGAGAAGTATTCACAGATGAGAGAAGACACGTGTTTCCTAATTTGTAAGTTCACACATATAGTAGAATTTGCAAAAACCATTCTCCTCTCTTAGAATGTGAAGTGTGAACTTGCAATAACAACACAAATTTAAACAGATAACGGCTATCCGCCAATGTAACAACAACACTTCATAAAATTCGTTTAAAAAATTAGCCATCTAGAGAAGACCACATAAAGAAATGCGTATATCACATGGGTACTGCATTCTGAGAACAAATGTCTATTTGGTAAGCAACGAACGAGACGTCCTAATACCGGCACCAAATCACAGCATTATTTGTCTTCCTGTTCACGGTCCTCTACTGTAGGACTGCACTCAGGAATATTGAGAAAAATTTATGTACTTACACTGGTCCTAGGAATATGGTAGAACTTTCAGCAGAAATTACGTGGGCTCATCCCAATGCATCCACTCTCGTCGTAAACAGAAAAGAAACCAGAAGTTCTTCAATGTTGTATGACGCTAAGACTAACATACATTGATTCGTCTCAAAAGAAGAGACTCATGCAAGAGAGGAAACACTACTCACGATAAGAAAGCCAACGATGTCTAGAATGAAAAATAGGTTGTAAAGATAGCAAGAAATGCTTTCAATTATGTCAGTCACAACGGATGATACCCGCTGACAACAAAGAAGGTCACCCGAGATTAACCGTAATTAATAAATAATCTATCTCACTGAACAGAATGAGACGTTCACGGACTTTT